AGGCCTAGACACGAGGTTGAATCAGGTGATGCTTTAACCCTACCAGAATGCAGAAATCTTCAGAATGAAATTGGAAGAGTTTTTCATTTCAATTAACTTCCTCTGATTTGAGCTTTCTAGGGCTTCAATCATACTCATTTCCTATGAGGTATATTCTGGGCCTAATTGCCTCTGCACCTGGCAAAGTGCCAGGCCTTGATTTTACCAGCTTCCTTCAAGAACTAAGACTTAAAAGTATAAAAAGAAAAGAATGCTACTGGTCCCACTTGAATCACTCAGCATTAATAAACAAGAGAGGTATGGAAACCCTATAAAGTATTATTCTGCAAGCCTGTCAAATTGTTATTTCCAAATTGAAGGAATGAAAAAGAAATGCTTCAATCCTTTGTCATATAAGTAGCTAAAGCCTACTTTGACTGGACTTTTAATTGGCAACGGTGGTCTTTGTTACCCTTTGTTTACTCATTCATCCATTCAAGCACTCACTGGGGGTTTACCATGTGGAAGGTGCCGACCTTCAGTCCTAGATCAGACAGGGACACACAGAGAAAGCATCCATGTTTCTGCCTTGTATACTGATTCTAAAAATTGTTAGCTACAACTAGCTAACAATAAACCAATTTCCTACTCTTAACCTATTTTTATGAAATCTTTGGGACATGTCAGAAAATGAACTCCAAATGTCATAAACGGATCATTTCACCTGACCATGTCATGGAGAATTGTCTAAAAGTATGCTCCCTGGTTAAATGCAATTATTACTGAAGCAACCGGCTTCAGCTTCTCAGGCAGGTTGCTAGCTAAGCAAAGAAGTCATCCTTATTCAGTCGAGTGTCCATATTTTACGGAATGTATAAAGCCCTCAAATATTTCTTGAAGTTTCTTGATTTCTGAGTAAACTCTATAAAGGGTATTGCCAGTTCACTTAGAAGGGTGACAGAAGATTTTTTTTTTTTTTGCTTGAACACGCACAGTAAGATTTCAGTAGTTTTCATTTGTATAACTTCTTTTGCTGAAGTGAAATGTCTTTTTGAGCTGGCGATGTCTTTGTACTATTTACTTTGTCTGCTGAGCAGACATCTCACTATTCCTGAGTTCCACAAGGCTGCACATACTTCGTGTGTTTCCTCAGATGGCTTTGTGGGTGACAGAGTCTCTGTTTCCTTGCAATGTTCAGATTAGCTTGCTTTCACCTGCATAGTTAAAAGTTAAATGAGCTGGACATAGCCTTGAGTGACATTTCTTTTTCTCTCAGGAATCTGCAGATGTGATTTCACTCTTTTCCAGCTTCTAGGTTTGGAAATGACTGGTCGTCTGGTACGAGTCTGCTTACTTTTTCCTATAAGCAATGTGTTTCTGTTTTGAAAGCAACTTCAAGGATTTTCTCTTTATCCTTGTTATCCGCATAGTGGAAATCCTATGTAATGGGGCGTCACAGAACATCTCTTTCCAACTCTGCATTCAGGACCTTCTTTGTCTTGGTAGCTTGAAATCGGCCATGGAGGTCAGGCTGCAGGCAGGTGATATTTCTAAAGCAAAAGGCTGATCACGCTACTCCACTGTTTAAAACCCTCTGATGATTCTCTCCATTTACTGCAGGGCCAAGTCCAAATTATGTACTTGGGCATGCAAGGCCTTTTATGACCCAGACCTGGTATCTACAGCCTTACCTAGACACACTCCCCCAACTCAACAATGAAACTTTCAGATGCATTTTTAGGGAAGCATGCCGACTCCTTGGTTTGGACCCTGATACATGCCACTCCTTCTTTGTGGAACACTACCTCCCTACTTGCCCCCTGCCCCCCCCCCCCCCACTCCACCCACACACACATACCTTCGACTGCTTGTTCCCTTTTTATTCAACTTAAACACTTACTCCAGAAAACCTCCCTAGTTTGCCTAGACCTAGAATTGAGCTGTCCCAGGCCGTTCACAAGCTTATCAGTCTTACAACATTTTATTATAATTACATTTTATTAGAATTGTCGGTTTACAAATTATTTCCTAGCTAAATACCTTAACACAAAGACTTGTCGTGTCCACCATAGTACTCTTGAGACCCAATGTCAATACTAACTTAATGACTACCTTAATGTATGGATGAATGAGTGAATAAAAACTCCCCTGATGTTCAAAGGAAAAGGGTGGAGGTAAAATTGATGACAGAAGACAAAGATAAAAAGATGCTGGAGATCTGGATTGATAATTTAGATTCAAAGAGATAATCGATGTCCCTCTAGGGAAGGCCACAGCAAACGGATCAGAGGCAATAAACAAGGAATAACAAAACTAGCCAGAAAGGAAGATATAATTAAATCCATAAAGCAAAATTATTGTTCAAACAATGCCAATTTTTGCATTTTGAAAATAAATCTTACTAAGTCCTCATGGATCACTCTCTTAATATGTGTGATTTTTTTTTTTTTTTTTTTTTTTTTTTTTTTTAGAAAGAGAAAGAGACGGAGACAGAGTGAGAACAGGGGAGGGGCAGAGAGACACACACACACAGAATCCAAAACAGGCTCCAGGCTCTGAGCTGTCAGCACAGAGCCTGATGTGGGGCTCAAAACCACAAACCGCGAGATCATGACCTGAGCTGAAGTCAGGCGCCTAGCCCACTGAGCCACCCAGGCTCCCCAATATGTGTGATATTTTTGATAAAAAAAATTATCCTTATATTTACTAATGAGATTATACTACCAATTTTACAAATTACATTGCATTCCTTTCCATGTTAAATAAGTATGAACTGCCCTATAAAGTCCAGATACAAAAATAGTCACCTCTTTCTGCCTTTCAATGATTACTCCTACTTTATTATTAGCAGGAAATCTAGCTTTCCCCTCCGCACCCATCTTGGATTGATTTTTTAAAAAACCTTCATATGACTCAGTCCAAAGAAAGTCAGATCGGCTTTCAAGCCAATCATAAAGGAACCCGGGAAGGCTAAGTCCACTGTTGTTGTGACACCTGATGAGAAATGCTGTCATTGCTCCGAAATGCACTGCTGTGCTGTTCCTCCAGTTCCAGTCCTGTGCTGATGTTCTTCCTGTCACAGAAGGGACCAAACTTGGTCTCCATGGGCTTTAAAACCATTTGCCAGCTACCAGTGCTCAGGCCGTAATAACTGTGTCCACTGCTACACTAAGAAGTCCTACATGGACACCCCTTGTAATCTCTGCTTTTGCAAGTGTCCTATTTCCAACTCTTTAGGCGTCTGCTGCAATAAAAGTTTTCTTTTGATTTTGTGATGTGTTATATTAATATATGTCTGTATATCAAACATATAATTCTTTTGCTATATTGCAGCCACTTTCTAACATTTCGTTTAGGATTGTTTAAAGCTATGTTCCTTAATCTAGGAACGCACTTTTCTTTGGTGCTAATGTTGCCAGGGTGTGATATTAGTATTATAATAACTTTCTAAAATAATTTCATAGATTTTTCTCTTACTGTAACATTTTCTAAAATCTGGGAATTTTATTTCTTCTGAGACCAAAAGAATGTCTCTGTAATTCTATAAAGACTTTTAAATGTCCTGGTTATGACTATCTTCAGATTTTCTGATTTTTCCAATTTGGCAATGTGGTCCTATCATTTTTCTAAAGATTTAAAAAATGTTATTGCATAATTACATTCTACTATCATAACTCCTTTACCATTCCTAATTTCATGTTTATGCTTTTATCTTTTAAAAATTAAAATCCTACTTACCAGACTACTTTAATAAAGATAAGACCAAACCTTGACCTATTTTTAAATTCTAGCATTTGTGGTATGTGTATTCTAACTTATTAATTACTGCTTGTACCTGGCTGTTACTTTATCATCTATTTTTGTTTTCTGTAGTTTTTGTTTCTTTTCCAAAGTCTTGAGTTAAACGTCTAGTTCATTCACTTTCATCCTTTTTATCTAATGGAAAGAGACAACACTGAGTTTACCATTGAGGACGGCTTTGGCCAAAGCTCACATCCTCTATCAGCAAACTATTTTCTAATCTGTCACTGTGGCTACTTTCTGTGTAGGGTACAAAGGATATTGTTTGCTATTAGAACATTCTTGTCAATATTATTAAAATACCCTGTATCTGTGTTTTTGTCTTTACCAGTCAATTAAAAGAATATAAATTAATAAAGTTGTTTTCACAGATACACAGTGGACTTTGTACTCTACAGAGTGATATGAACATGGCTTCTGTCGGTTTCCAGGGAAATGCAGATTTTACCTTGTTTTCATACTGCATTGACTTTTTTTTTAAAAATTTTAAATATTTATTTACTTTTGAGAGCAAGAGTGTGTGAGCAGGGGAGGGGCAGAGAGAGAGGGAGACACAGAATCTGAAGCAGGCTTCAGCCCTGAGCTGTCAGCACAGAGCCCGACACGGGGCTCGAACTCATGGGCCGTGAGATCATGACCTGAGCCGAAGTCAGATGCTTAACCGATGGAACCACCCAGATGCCTCTGCACTGACCTTTTTAATCGGAGCTTGACAGTTCAATTTTTAGATGAACTAAATTCTCATTTGTGTCTAATATTTCCACTCTTCATCTCCTATTATTTTTGTTTTGTTTGTAAATCAACAGTAAATGTGTATAAAAGCTCAACTTTAGACAGTCCTGTCCTCAAATATAATTTCATGAAATTATTTTATTTAATAACCTAACAATTTCCATAACTGTTGTCAGGTCATAAAAAACATGATGCAGTGTGAACAGCACTAACCCAGGATCTGCATTTGTCTTGGAAAAAAACAGCTCCTTTCTCTGGGTCTCATCTTTAAAATTCTGTGATTCTACAAGTTGGATTTACTTGCACCTCTGGATTATTACACTTGGACTTTAGAAATATATAACCAGGGACGACCTGATCCATAAAAACATATTCTTAAAATTAAATTTGGCTTACTAAACTTGCTTGACTTTAGCGAAGATTCCTTGACTACAAACATTGCTTCTTAAAAGTTTAAGAATGAATGAAAAAAATTATTGTTCACTTACAGCATTCCCACCAATGACGTCCTCAAAGCCAAGTGTGGACATTCCAAATCTGCCTTCCTCTTCTTCTTCCTCCTTGTCCGTCTCACCTACATACTCCATGACTGTAATAATCTCCATCATGTCCAGCTTTGCAATATTTGCGCTTCTTACTGTAACTACTCTTTATTGCTGCCGGAGACGAAAACAATGGAAAAATAAGAAAAGGTGAGATTCTAATTGAAGCTAATCACATGTAGTAATATATTAAAACCTATAAACTTAACATGGGAATTGGGGATGGGAAGAGGGATCTATACAACACGGCCAGTCTCTTTAGGGCGTCTAATGCCTTGCTTTAAGATCAAGCACCCCACCATGATCTTTAAAAATATCAATACCTTTTTGCAAAGGATCACATGTCCTAATGTTAACTTTTCATAGTAGAGAGAATCTAAACAATAATTTGGAAGAATATGGCTACTCCAGCTCAGCCCCATTGCTATGCCAACTGGATAGTGACAAAATTCCCGCAAAAATGTGCTTTTTGACTCCAGACCAAACGAAATATTTCTTGCTCTAAAACTGAAGGTCTTCCGTTGCCTTAGTATAATTTGTTTTGTTTCCTCCTAGCATCCTCTCTCTTTAAAACCCGAGCCTGAGTACAAAGATCTCACCTGACCCTGAGCTCATTATCAATCTTGCCTGTCTTACCTGCAGAGAGTCAGCGGCGGTAACCCTCACTACTCTTCCCTCTGAGCTCTTACTAGACAGACTTCATCCCAACCCCATGTACCAGAGGATGCCACTCCTGCTGAATCCCAAACTGCTGAGCCTGGAGTACCCAAGGAATAACATTGAATATGTGAGAGATATTGGCGAAGGAGCATTTGGAAGGGTCTTTCAAGCAAGGTAAAGTTACCCATGTGAAAAATCTTTCCACCGAATTTGTACCTGAAAGGCTATGAGACCGCTCCTTTGATGCCTACGCTGAATGTATGATACCTATTATCAAGTAATTCTTCACATCATTAACCTCATCTCATGGAGTACTTACACTCTGAATCTTAATAATTTTTTCTCTCTGCTGGAAAATAGGGCTGGGCAGAAGGAGAGAACCTTCATTTATGCTGTATTCAAATTATAAGCAATTAGCAAAGTTTAATTATATTTCCTTTTCAGAAATAATTTTATCACAGATTTTAATCATAATTTCTTGCCTTGTTTTTAGTAAATAATTCTAAAATTTACTTCTCTTCCATTTTCTATTGCTATATTCTTCACTTCATCTAAACTTTACTTTGAACTAGTGTTTCCATTTAAGAATTCAGACTCTTGAGGCACCTGGGTGGCTCAGTCAGTTAAACGTCTGACTTCAGCTCAGGTCAAGATCTTATGGTTCTTGAGTTCTAGCCCCGCATCCGGCTCTGTGCTGACAGCTCAGAGCCTGGAGCCTGCTTCAGATTCTGCATCTCCCTCTCCTTCTGCCTGTCCCCCATTTGCATTCTGTCTCTCTCTCAAAAATAAATAAGCACTAAAAAAATTTTAAAAAAGAAGAATTCAGAGTCTGATACGTGTAGATATTAAATGGATGTCCATGGAGTCATATGATATTTGTCTTTCTCTGACTAATTTTGCTTGACCTCACTCATATGAGGACTTTAAGAGACAAAACAGAGAACATAAGGGAAGGGAAACAAAAATAATATAAAACTAGGGAGGGGGACAAAACATAAGAGATTCTTAAATATGGAGAACAGAGGGTTACTGGAGGGGTCGTGGGAGGGGGGATGGGCTAAATGGGTAAGGGGCATTTAGGAATCTACTCCTGAAATCACTGTTGCACTATATGCTAACTAATTTGGATGTAAATTAAAAAAAAATAAAATTTTAAAAATAAATAGATATCCATGGAATGGCAAAAATAGAAAAAGGAAAAAATAATGCAAACATGCCAGAACATAATGAGCTCAAGGAAGGAGTACATATGAGGGTCAATGCTAGCCCATTTACTGCCTTTCTGTGAACTGGAAGGAAATACCCTTTATGCATGGATGTGGCTCAAGACACACAACTGGGCCAGAGAATGTGGACTTGGTTTTAATCACTAATTGTCATTCTGTCCTGGTGTTCTTGGGCAGGACACAGCCTCAACTCCACTCATAGTAGCCCTGGTATGGAGGTTACATAATTAATGAAAACCTCACACAAATACGTACTGGGAACCAAAAATACGCAAGGCACCATTTGAGGCTTTAGAGGGATATAAAGAATAAGCCATGGTCCCTGCCTTCCAGGAATTTCGAGTCTGGCCAGACATTAAGGGTTTAGGATGGTAATGACAATCTCATTGGATCTGTGTACTTTAGAATTCCTGAAATGTACAAATAATGTATTTTTCAAACTTAATCTGTGTTGAAAATAGTCCCAGTGATTTTTATTAATTGGAGTCAAGGAGTTTTAGGTACGATCTACTGTTGGCATCTTACTCTGATTCTGTGGCTCTGGGAAAGGCTGCAAAAGTGGAGGGAATGTATATGAATGTGGGTAGAGTAATGTGGGTAGATGGTGTTCCCGATCTTTGATTTCTTTCTAAACAAATGTATCTCTCAGGGCTCCGGGCTTACTTCCCTATGAACCGTTCACAATGGTGGCAGTGAAGATGCTCAAAGAAGAAGCCTCAGCAGACATGCAAGCCGACTTTCAGAGGGAGGCAGCCCTCATGGCAGAATTTGATAACCCTAACATTGTGAAACTCTTAGGTATGACTATAGAAATGAAGAAATGCATTGCATCCCCCAAACAGAAGCTTCCCAAGGTTTCCTCCTTTACCCCTACATTTGTGCTTTTTTCCTTCACTTCTTTGTCAGAGAGCCATCCCTGTTCCTTCCCATATATTTTCTGCACCAAGGAGTGGAACGTTACGTTAAATAACCTCAGTTCAAAACATCGCTTTTTTTTTAAATTACTCAGAGAAGTATGTTGTCATTTAATTTTCTCTCTAGAATGTATAAATATACTGATTGCTAAATCCCTGGAATTAAAAACCAGGCCCAATATAAATAAGCCAAGATAATAGCATTCATTATTTCTCTTCCTTTTTGAACAGAGACTTCTAATTTTTGCCTGAAAAAAAGAATAATAGGTCTAATAATCTATTTTTACAGTGATGTGAAATTGCACCCAAATGATCTAATATTTCAAGGTGTCCTATTTCCCTCTCAAATACAGCAAGAATTTAAGTTTTGCACATGTCCTCCTGGCACTAACCCTGAGACTCCATTTATGTTAACATTTTTTTTCTTTCTAGAATGAACATCCTAAAAGCTAAGTTTTGAAAAATTTTACTGAGCACTTTACCTAAGATTTTGGATTGTGTTATCCTTTCCAAATCTCATACATCTTCTTTACCATCCTTCCCCATAGAAAGAGCGGGAAGAGCAAGTAGTTTACATGCTCAAAGCAAGCGCCATTTGTAAATTCACTCGGCAAACAAGTACCGAGTACTTGCTGTGCCGCACACGTGGTAGGTGTGTGGGATTTAAAAAAAGAATAAGACATGACTTCTGCTTTCAGAGCGCTAAAACGTTGGAGGAGAAACCTCAAACAAATGGACGATTGTCACGGGACGGTAGGTCCTCCGCTAAAGGCTGATAGAAGGCAAATCTGGTAACAGGCAGTGTCTGCAGTGGAGGCACTTAGGAGTGATGGATAAGCTGAATCTTAAAAGGTAGGGGCGCCTGGGTGGCGCAGTCGGTTGAGCGTCCGACTTCAGCCAGGTCACGATCTCGCGGTCCGTGAGTTCGAGCCCCGCGTCAGGCTCTGGGCTGATGGCTCAGAGCCTGGAGCCTGTTTCCGATTCTGTGTCTCCCTCTCTCTCTGCCCCTCCCCCGTTCACGCTCTGTCTCTCTCTGTCCCAAAAATAAATAAATGTTGAAAAAAAAATTAAAAAAAAAAAAAAGGTAAATAGGCAGACGTTGACACCCAAACAAATGGGGTCAGGGTTCGAGTGCGATGCCGTCCACAGAATACCGGGGCCCCTATTTTCTAATGTGGCCACCAAGTGCTTTGGGAGCGCTCTTTCCCCCGTGTCACTTGAGACACCCACCCTAACGAGGGCCGTGATTTCGGTTGCAGGCGTGTGCGCCGTCGGGAAGCCCATGTGCCTGCTCTTTGAATACATGGCCTACGGCGACCTCAACGAGTTCCTCCGCAGCATGTCCCCCCACCCCGTGTGCAGCCTCAGTCACAGCGACCTGTCCGGGAGGGCCCAGGCCGCCAGCCCGGCCCCGCCACCGCTCTCCTGCGCGGAGCAGCTGTGCATCGCCAGGCAGGTGGCCGCCGGCATGGCTTACCTCTCGGAGCGCAAGTTCGTGCACCGGGACCTGGCCACCAGGAACTGCCTGGTGGGTGAGAACATGGTGGTGAAAATCGCCGACTTCGGCCTCTCGCGGAACATCTACTCGGCGGACTACTACAAAGCTAACGAGAACGACGCCATCCCCATCCGCTGGATGCCCCCCGAGTCCATCTTCTACAACCGCTACACCACCGAGTCGGACGTGTGGGCCTACGGCGTGGTCCTGTGGGAGATCTTCTCCTACGGCCTGCAGCCCTACTACGGCATGGCCCACGAGGAGGTCATCTACTACGTGCGCGACGGCCACATCCTGTCCCGGCCGGAGGACTGCCCCCTGGAGCTGTACAACCTGATGCGCCTGTGCTGGAGCAAGCTGCCCGCCGACAGACCCAGCTTCCCCAGCATTCACCGAATTCTGCAGCGGATGTGCGAGAGAGCGGAGGGGACAGTGGGCGTCTGAGCGCGGGGACGCGACGGGGGACGCACCGCAGGCCTGGCTGAGACTCTGGGAGCTGCAGGAATCCGAGCCGCTTCTCCCACCTGGACGACAGCACGGCGGACGGATACGCGCGAGTACCGGGGCGGCTAGCACCACGCGCGAGTAGCGGGGAGGTCAGTTTCTCACCAAGAGCAAAGTGCAGAGCTCATCCCGTAGACCACTCCAACTTGAAAAGGCTGACTAGGACATGGTTTACGGGGAAGCAGAGCATCCTCTTCAGTTCCTGACTCGCCTGGCAGCAGAG